GGACTCGCTTGGCATTGATGTGTGCTGTGTCTCTGAAACGAGAATTCAAGATGCAAGCACAGTGATTGAGTTAACCGCCCCGTCAGTCTCCACTCGCTTCCGGCTACGCACCTCTGGTGATCCAGAGGCTGCTGCGGTGGGATGTGCAGGGGTTGGTATTGTGCTAAGGCACAGGGCGAAAGTATCCTTACTTGACTGGATACCTGTTGATCGTCGCCTCTGTGCGGTTCGTCTGGCAACGTCTGTGAAGGAGTCTCACAAGCGGCAAGTTGATAGATGTCTGTTTATCGTGTCTGCCTATGCCCCAACTGACTGTAGCTCTGACGCCGTCAAAGACAGGTTTTACGACGCCCTGAATACCCTGCAGCGGCGACCTAAAAGCTCAGTCGTTGTGAAGGTTGCCGGAGATATGAAAGCGCAAGTGGGCAGTCTTAGTGCATCTGAGACTGAATTGGGAGATCGACATGGACTGGACTGGGTACGTACGGACACGGGGAACGATTGCTTCAGCTGTGTGCTGATCGCAGGCTGTTTTTATGCAGTACGAACTTCCGAAATAGCCGAAGTCGTCTGGCCAACAACAGGCCGGCCACAAACTCAAATCGACCACATTGCCATCAGTTACCGATGGCGCGGATCCGTAACTGACTGCCGGTCGTTTTGGAACCCCTTTGTGGACTCTGACCACGTGCTCGTCCGGAGTCGCTTCTCCCTACGTTTCCCGGGGTCGCGTAAGGTGCGGACTAATCGCATGGCAACTGAAAGACTAGTAGACCCGGATTTCATACGAACTTACAAGAATTGTCTTTCAGAGTCTCTTCCCAATGCTCCACCATCAGATGTGAACTCATACTGGGACGAGAGTGCCACCTATTTGCATAGTGCTGGGAATTTTGCCTGTGGCACGACCCGACCGGGCGCACTCAAGCACTGGATATCAGACCGAACGGTGTCACTACTTAAATCTCGAAGAAATATCCCAGGCGGTCCCGAACATAACCCGCTGCAAAGAGCTACCAGACGCCACGTAGAAATGAGCTTGCGATCCGACCGTGAAGTATGGTGGACAC